CATAAAGTTTTTTTTTATTACAATAACAAAGAAATTGAAATTGTTAAACATTTTAGATATCTAGGAATTATATTCTCAACAACAGGCTCATTTATTTAGACAAAACAGTATGCTACTGAAAGAGCAACGAAAGCTATGTATGATATTTTGAAAAAGGGTAACCAATTATATCTTTCTCTATATGACCAATTGTAATTGTTCGACAAGTTTTTAGTTCCAATTTTATTGTATGGTTGTGAAGTGTGGGGTTGTGGTAATGCTGAAATGGTAGAAAGAGTACATTTAAAATTATGTAAAATGCTTTTTCATTTAAAACCAAGTACTCCAAATTGTATGATCAATGGTGAATTAGGCAGAGTACCTTTAATTATACATATCAAAACAAGAAGTATTGCATACTAGTCAAAAATTTTACATGGAAAACAATCAAAATATATATTGTAATGTATGAATTACTTCGTGCAAAATTTGATAATGGACATGAATCTAAATGGTTAAACAATTTGAAATCAATTTTAGACATTTTCGGATATAGTAATATTTGGAATCAGAATCAATTATTTAATAGAACTTGGCTTATTAAAAGTTTGAAACAAAAACTACTAAATCAGTTTCAACAAAATTGGAATTCAACCTATAATTATTCTTCAAAAGGTGTGGCATATAATTTATTTACAAATTTACACTTTGGATGCCAATTTTTTGTGGATAGCGGCTTACGTAATTATAAGAAACAAATTTTAGCTAGATTTAGAACAGCTAACCATAAATTACCAATTGAAACAGGAAGATGGGAAGGTACTGAAAGAATTAATAGAATATGTCTTTTGTGTATAAATGATCTTGGTGACGAATTCCACTATATTTTATCCTGTGAAAAGTTAAAAGATGAAAGAAAATTGTATGTTCCGAAATATTATTTTTCAAGACCTAATGTTATCAACTTTAATGAATTTTTTCTTCGAAAAATGTTGGACTATTAAGTAAACTTTGTTCATTTATCAAAATTGTAAACGAGAGAGTCAAACCTCCAGGTTAACGTTAATGTAAACAATTATTATATGGAAATACTTGATTATAAGCACACTTTGTATATATGTTATATGTTATGCTCACGCATGTATGTATATATGTTATAATAATATGTATGATCTCTATAATGTTAAATAACAACCAGAGAGATATTAATAAACTGGTAAACTGGTAAGACAAATCAATTTCACAATTTAACGAAATTCGGATTGAAATTGTTTTTTATCATAACCAAAATGCCCGTAATTACATGTATATTAATTCATTATACATTGTAGGTTACTCTTCGGTGCCATTTCACTCGTTGATAGTGGTCAGTTAAGTTTCTAGTTCCGGACATGTGGTGCTTAATAATTGATCGCTGATTATTTATGAAAACGACATTGTTTAAAATTACTATTGTAACGTGTAGCGGTCACCCATCCAAGGGTTAAACAGGCTTGCCGTTGCTTAACTTGCCTGAAATAGAGGGAGACTCTACCGCATCACCAGAAAAGCTAGCTCACTGGCGAGGAAGCATAAGTTCCCTATATACATGTACTGTCCGCTACACCCCCGCTCAGGGAAGCTTCGACCCGAAGCTTAGTATGAGTTCTCTCTGAATATCTCGGCCTCTTCATCTACGGCAACCAATGCCGTTCCCGGACACGAAGTCCGTATACTTGGACACAAAGTCCTAGTATTAGAGCTTCCTGAAGTAGGTCGGAACCTGACTTCAGATACGGCAACCACTGCCGTCCACAGACACGAAGTCTGTATATGGACACTAAGTCCTAGCTCTAAGACTTCCTGAAGCAGGACACCAGACACCCAGAGTCACTACGCTGCCACCAATTTTCTAACGTGAAGCGGTCACCCATCCAAGGGTTAAACATGCTTGCCGTTGCTTAACTTGCCTGAAATAGAGGGAGACTCTTCTGCATCACCAGAAAAGCTAGCTCACTGGCGAGGCAGTATAAGTTCCCCATATACTGCCCGCTACTCTATTTAAAAAATGATTTAAAAAATAATGTTGCAATAGTATTATAGTCTAACTGGGTTGAGTATTTAGTTGTGTGTATTTGTGTGGTGGGGAGGGGGGGGTTACCGAAAGAAACTTTAGAAAAAATGCATGGTGTTAAGCTCATATTGACTACTCGAACATGTATAAGTATGTCATTTACCTATTTAACGCCTACTCCCACCCAAACGAATTCATCCCGAAATAATTACCTCCGAGATTCCTAGAACTGACCCTACCTTATTTCATGCATGTGAGTTTTTTCTTATTTAAACAGCATGTTTTATGAGTAAATGATAAAAAAACCGTTCAATACTGGGATTGAAAAAAGGGTGTATTTTTTCAATTAAAATAAAGATTTCATTACCAATGCAAGACAAACTTCCTTCCAAATGTTTTTACAAACATTTTATGGAGTATTGCTTAATGTGCAATATATCTACAGTGTACATGTATCAAATTATTGTCCTTACAATTATTGTATTTTCGTAAATTGTTGCATTTCAAATATTTGTCTTCATCATATTTATACATGGTATATGGAAAAAGAAAAAAAAAACAAATTTATTCCACATTACTGGGTAGATTCTGGATTATTGTCGTTCCCGGGGACATTTTTTTTTATTTTCACATTTGGAAAGATGTATCAGATTTATACAATCAAACAACAGAAGTGTTGCTTTATTTAAAATAAAATTTAAAATTTAAAATAAAATGACTTTTGAACTCATCCTGTATACTTACAATACAATTCTTGCCCGAAAGTTGACCTTTTGAGGTGTAAAGTTTCTGTCGTCCATCAAGAGAGAAGTGTAAAACAAACAACTCATATACCATGCATTGATAGATAATACTTATAACAATTAACTGTTTTTTTTTAAATGAGAGAAAGGTTCTATAACTTTGATGGATACTACTTATAACAACTATTTAAAAGAGATAATTAAAAAAAATTATAATCATATTAGGAACGTTACAAAAAAAATTAGTCATTTTTTGACATAACGTTATCCTGACGTCATGATTCCACTGTTAAAAAATAGAAGTATCACTGATATAAACGATAAAAAAACATACTTAGAAATGGATTAGAACCATAAAAATTCATATTTGACAACTCCTAACCTTGCTCTATCAAAATTCAGGAAGAACAAAATGTGTAAAAATTGCCATAATCATCCTTTTCCCACGGGCGCAATCATATACATGTATGTCTAAATTTTTCAAATTTGTATTTATACCTAAAATCTATTATTTGAATATACAACTTTGTAGTAAACCTCCAAAGTTGGCCAATCCATTTTGTCCGTAAAAGCGTTGATTTTGGCATTACATTTGGCCTAGAGGTCCTTCAATGCAGGCCTGCCTCTAAATAAAATTGCGATATTTTGATAGGTCAGGATGTAATGAATATTTTAATATAGGATTCTTTAGGGGAACCCCTGCCCTATGGTCTAAATTCACAAAAAAACCTACAAACAAAAGGAAACCTGATTTTGATAATCTGCTTCAAATTTATACCTACAATTCTTATACTAGGAGTAGCTATGTGCTGATTTTTACACCGTGGAAACATTCTTTTTAAAGTCGGAGGATCAAATCCACCTGGTACCACAATTTTAAAGTTTTAAGGTTCATAAACCCTCTGCTCACTCAAATAAAATGTTGCTTAAACCTTAATGATTTTTCAAAGGAAAAGTATTTTATTAGTAAAATACCGACAAGTATATTATAGCTTGTGGGGCAAAATTGGACAAAAAGACTTTTCAACTTGGCAAATCTATAAAGAAATAATAGACATTTATGTCATTAAGAGTTATGTCTCTTATCAGAGTATCAATGACACTTAAGTTTTGCCTTTTCAAAGACTATTTTTTAAGTTTTTTATAGGCTTTTGTATTTTCCTTCAATTATCTGTCTTTTAAGCATGTTACCCATTCTTGATATTAGAAAAACTAAGGAGATATCAAATCGTAACATTCCAATGTACAGTTGTCACTCGGCATAGGCACACTTTCTCCGAGGACAAGAATATTTCACTCTGTGTTACTACATACAGGTTTTCTTGGCAACATTGAGCTGCGATGAATTTCAATTGTATATATCCTTAAGAATTTAACCATATTGGTTTTGGCTACATATATCAGTAACCATACTCCTTTGGATTCCAGTTAGGCCAATTTAATTTGCACACATTAATGACATGCCTTATCATATTCACGGATAAATAGCCTAGACATAAAGAAAAGAATTTCAGAGAGAGTAGACAACATTATGCAAAATGGGAAGTAAAGACAAATATTAATTATTACATTTGGAGATATAAAGCAATGAGAGAAAATCAATGAAAGCGCTACTCCTACCTCTACCAACTAAAATAAAGATTTAGGAAAAACAAATTGTTATATGTATTCAGCCTAATGTCATTAATCGGAACGGAAATCGACAAGCATTTTGTAGAGAAAAAAACCAGGCCGGTCCTGTAGGTCAGATCCCTATTTATAATGAAGTGATCCTTTCCAGGCTTAGCACACTTATATACCGAAACGAGCAAAATTCTTAACAAATAAACAGAGGTATCAAATTATCTTTCAATTCATTATGTAAAGTGACTAAAACCCTTTGACACATTACATTCTGATAAAACAATCAGCAATTTTGTGAGGAGAACATGGCTAATGCATGTGACGTCTACTACTCTTTGGATTGTTTGTTCAACGATCGATAACTATTCCGCGAAAATGCTGTATATCCGAAGATCTTTAATATAATAAAAAGTATGACGAAGACAGGAAAACATGACATTTTTTTGTTTATATCACGTGGTAATCTAGAGCAAATCAGATAAGGCTTCGCCCGCATGCAAATTATCCAACGTTCCAACTATTGTTGATGTTCTGGCAAACTCTACTAACTTGACAGTAATTTCTTAAACATATAACGTATTAGTAAGTAATCATTATTTTAGGTAAGGATCTGTCAAGCTGTACTAACGTGACGACCATCTGGGAGAACGACACGTCCATAGAAAGGTGCCCCAAGGAAGACTGGACTGTGTCCGCCATATCTGCCATATATATGCTGTTATCCAACCTGCTTCTGGTGAATCTTGTTATCGCCATGTTTAGGTACCATATTTTGAGAGTTTACATGTATTTAAAATATGATTGTGACGTTCATATTTTGTTTGTGTTGCGTATTTTATAGCCCAGTGAAGCTAACTTCCCGAACAACCAATTGAGTCACCTATAACTATCCGTTCTTTTTTTTTTTAAACTGTCCATTCTTTTTGTCGTCGAAGAAGTTCATTTCAAAGTTTGGCTGATATTACGAGGGCCGTTCAAAAAGTACGCGGACTGTGCTAGTATTTACTCTTACAGACGTCATATAGTTATGAAATTTCACAGAAATATATCTTAAAGATTCAAATAAATTTTGAGCAAAATTTCTGTATTTTTAAAAAAATCTACGAAAATTATCGGTATGTTGATATAGCTGATGGAGAGGTACGGAGCACGACAAAAATTGAAGCATAAGCATGCGGAATCCAAAATTTAACTAATTAATTTTCTATAAATCGCGATATTTTTCGACAATTTTCTCAAATGTATCTTTAAATTGTTCTATTATTGTGTATTTAGATTTCTGACGTGATATTTGAAGTACTAGCAGAAATATAGTGATTTTTCTCTGATGCGATTCCCGTGAAAAGGACTGAAAATGACGTTTCCTGAATTGACGGCGCACCACACTTTTGTTAAATTATGTGTGATGCTCGAGATATCGCCAACATAGATCCAAAATATGTATATTAAAACATGTAGTTCACTAGGGTATTCGTGACATTCGTCCACAAAAAGCTAATTGAAATTTTAGACCGTTAGACCTCTATAAAAAGGCTTTACGGGAGGACGGGAAGAAGATTATTGACGAAAACTTTATCAGTATTGTAAAGAACGTTATTGAGAGTCAACAATATCACACTATATCTCATAAATACCTGCAGTTCTTAATTTCAAAACAAAAAAAGAATATGCTTAACTTGTTAAATAGATTTTACGCTTGACAAGAAATGGTGTTTGAATGTTGAGTAGATAAGGCAACTCAAACTGTACAGGAACTCTTGCGAAAATGTTGAGAAAATAAAAGCTCAATCACATATTTTTTATAATGCGTGTGACGTCAAAGAATTTGCTGCTCCGTGACTTAATGATATTTCCAGAAAAATAACTCAAAATTTATACCAATTTACAACATTTTGATATGAAATTTAGAAGACCATAAAAGTAAAGATTATTTTATATTATGTGTGACATTTTGCCCGATTATGTGGTCAAATATTTTTTTCTGTGCAACAAGTCCGCGTTATTTTTGAACGGCCCTCGTATTTTTTTCTTTTACTCTGTTTCCATTTCCAAATATAATTGATTTTCCGCATAAAAATGTACAGAAAGTTCCCCCCCCTTTTCATAAAAAAATTGTCAATTCAGATGTGTTTTTTTTTTTACCTTTTCTGTAACTAGTGAACATCATAAATAATTTAAAAAAAACAATAAAAATTGTCATAAAACTGAAATAATTCCACCTCAACTTCAAAGAACAGAACAAGTTTTTACTGATTTCTCACTTCACAACGGTACCTTATAAACTTTTTCATGTATGCAACAAAAATTAATGATGGACATCAAATGAATATAAAGAAAAAATATCATGAGTAAAATGTTCCTGGTTGCTTACTGTGGTTGTGCTCTTAAGGCAAATAAACCATCAAATATATATTCTTTTTTCTACATATGTATTTAAACTTTACTTTTCATAATTCCAGACACATGGCGGTCGCAAAATAATTTTCTTGTGGCTGCAGGATAACTTATCCCAAGACCGGCCGCCAGAAACATATCTGGCCGCAACCAGATAATTATTTTGCGGCCGCCATATAACTTCTGCCCGCCGCCAAAAGTTATATGGCGGTCGCAAATATATTTTCTTGCGACAGCCAAAGAATTTATGTGGTGGTCGCTAGATATTTTTACCATGCGGCCGCCAGAAAAGTATTTGTTTCTGGCGGACGCCAGTTATTTCTGTAGTGACCGCCAGATTAAATATTTCCTACTTGGCACCTACCGGCTTAAAAAGTATTGTTCTATGAGGGTTGTTAGAAAAATATTTTGCGGAAAAGTCCTGTTGTAAGCATTATAATAGAATGAATCTTGTGAAACTGTGCAACTAAAAGCTATGCGTATTTTTCACGGCAAAATCATGGTCCTTTTCCTGGATTCCTAAAGTACACAACTATATTATTTAGCTAAAGCATACTTCACGGAGCAGGCTACGTCATTTCACGTTAACACATCAACGTTACTTAAACATTTTCTATGGAATTAGAATTTGAACATGCAGATTTAGCGGTTTAAGAAATTTGAATAAAATCAGAGGGGCAATTACTGCTTTACTGCTTTTTATGGATAATCAATGCATAAAATCAAAAACAAAAATTGCAACGAGCTTTTTGGGATTAAACGGTTTTTTCTTCAGGATTTATCGATGTGTGAACTTAACACGTCGATTAATTCTGGATAAAAAAAACCCATTGAAATTAAATTCCAATTACGATTTTTTAAACGAATTACTCCACATTGAGTCCCCAATCAATCCGTTATTTCTGTCCAGCATAGGAATACTTTAAGCCGCAAATAAAAATCTAGATGAATTTCAATTAGGTTCAACTTAAATTGACAAGTATAAAATAAATAAAATACCTTTTGTATGTATTCAAAGTCAACCTACATCGTAAATACATGTAGACGTACACTTCAGAATAATTTGCCCTTGGCCATGTTGACATTTACGACAACTATCTAAAACAAAAGTAGCAGACAGACAACACCTTTGATTTGCTCTGGTTTTTTTGTTTACAACGAAAATAACAATCAGTAAGTCCTTTTTTTGGTCATGTACTTATTTTTATAAACAACAGAAGAAACTCTATCAGGGTGTATGTCATTTATATCACTGAGACTATTTTGAAGCATAAAAAACTATAATTCCTTGTGATTTTGTTTAAAGAAAGTCCTTAAATTATATAGCTATATATTGTTTTTAATTAAAACTGTTTAATCTATTTTATTAAATTGCCGGTTCAGGATCTTAAATTAAAATGCATGTGCTATCTGATAATATTAGTTAAAAATATTTTACATGTAGTTAATTTAAAATAAATCGGTTTGCTGATCCTTTTTTTTCATTCACAAATATACATGAAATGATTAAGAATAACACCAACCTTACCATACATGAGTCAAACTAAAGCGAAATATCTTTTTTCTAATTTTAGTTATACCTTTGAGAGAGTTCAACAGAATGCAGACACGCTGTGGAGATTTAACGCATTCTCGGTTATCAATGAATACGAGTGGAGAATCCCGTCTCCTTTTAACCTGTTGTTTGCATACCGATTTTGTTGCCGTTGTAGAGCCAAATGTGGAGGTAAAAATAATGTTATAAATAAAGCAAGCATAATTTTACTTTACGAATCTATTCCACAATTTATTTTAATTTCTTCAGAACTTTTTAACAAAGTACAGGATCAGAGCCTCGCAGAAAAGAAAAAGATTTATCGAATACATCTCCAGAGAAATACAGCACGCAAGATATTCGACAGAATGCAAAGAGAAGTTGGAAACAACATATAACAATAGCATTACATATTGTTACATTTTGAATACACAAAGAAAAACAATTATTGAAACTACTTAAAAACAATAACGTGACTACATGTAACACTTTTTTTCTGCTCTGTTCCAAACATAGCTCTAATGAAACGACTGTTTTTATTTCTTAGTGTTTGCATTTGTGCGTTTTCGTATTAACAAATACAATACAATATATACCAAAATTACTTTGATACTACATCTTTTATAATTTAAATACAAATGAGTCATGGTGCAAAATAAGAATTCTCCCAATACTCTGTTAAAATAGAATGTAACATACTATAACATGTTGAGATATGCTTTTAGACTTTTTTTCGTTATATGCAATGTATCTTTTTCTTGAATGGCTGATATCATAAAAAAATGTTCTTGATGCCAATTAGATTGCAGCTTTCTCTTACACTACACAGTCATAGAGAATAGGAGTGAGATAGTTATTTGGACATGAATTATATGTATATTTATAAATGAATTTCATTTATAAAGCACATTTTTCGACACAGATTAAACTATCATAACTGCCCTTGGTGAAGAAATAATTATATGGAAAGCAGTTAGGATACAGACGTACGCCCAACTCAGGGTGAAAGTGAATGTCATTGTGCTTTCTCTGGCATATAAATTTCATTAATGCATCACCCTAATAAATGGATTTAACTACACACATGTTTGACACATGGGTTCGCGCTACACATTTATTTTGATTTTGTGTTAAATAGCTTATAATAAATATGAATGTTTTATACTTTCTCAATTCAGACAGAAATCCTTCTCAAGAAAACAGCTTTACAAATTTCTAAATTTAACAAAGCAAAGACAAAAATTAAACCAACAATGCACGATCTTTGGTCAAGATTCTGTTTTATAAGTATGAAAAGTCAATAAGCATTTTACTTAATGATAAATTGTATTTGCTGACAGTGTCATTGTATCGACCATAGGACTTACGGAATGATGACTTTAAACGAGACTACTTATTTTCTTGCTTCATCAACTTGTTTCCAAATAACTTTATTGAGAAAAAAGTGTCCGACTCTGTGGTATCTTTTATTTCAAGCTTACCGGAATATATCCTGTCGACATAAGGATTGAAATACTGTTATTAATCGTTAACTATTGTTAATTTAGAGTAGATCGTCGATAAATCTTAATATCGAGTTGAAAAGCAAAGCAAATGTTTTGCACTTTTCACGTAAAGATGGTGAACAAAATCTTCTTCATATGAATTAAAAAATAAGTCTGCTGATAACTTGGTACAATTGGTACCCATTTGGTTTTTAATTCGATTGTTGGAAAACCTGATCTAAAAGAAAACAAAGATATTATCAATAAGAAACTCTAGCATCTTTTCATTATCAACTTCAGAGTACTTGTGTGTACAATCAAAATGTTTTTTAAAAAGTAATTTAAAAAAAAAACCAACAAACGGACAATCATTTCTACAAATCGGTCTTTGATATACCTTGTTTGTTTATATCCTATTTGCTAGTAAATAACCATCACTAATGAAGGCCATATCTTTTTTTATAATCTGGGTTTATGTTTTCTTTTACATATATAAATTATGCAAAGGATATTTTTGCTTTGTACTTTGTTCTTCTTTTAAAGCTGTCGTTGCTTTTTGGTTTTGATTATTTTTTATATACTCTATCTTTTAAAGAGAAAGGGAGTTTGTCTTTATCATAAGATATTTTCTAAGTAAGATATATTTCAACTTGTTAACCTTATCAACTTGTTAATGGGCATCTATTACGACATTGTTTGTTTTGGTTACACGGCTTTCAACATATTCGATTTGGATTTGATTTGTATATTTCTCCTTAAAATGACTGTGCTAGCAAAAATGGGTCTATTTTCGTGGATATGTTCAAATTCATTATTTGATATTTGTCTTTATACTAAATACACGTGTAAGACCTAGCTGTAGAATTGTAGATTTCCTAATAAAAAATATTGACAGGTCGGAGAACTACAATGTCACTCATTGAAAGAAGTGTATATTTCTTGCGCATAAAAATGTCGCGCTCGTTGTTTGATTTATTTCTCAAAAATCTTATCTCGATTGCACAGAAAAACGTTTCCAAAAATCCCTTATATCTTTATCAGCTAATCTGATGGTTGACTTCTGCACGAAGTAGGTCTGTCACGGTTCCACAATTTTTCAGTTCGGGTGGGTTCTTATTTTTTTAGGTTCGGTTTTTGGTTTTTTGGTTCGGGTTTATAATAGAATAAAACTCATGATTTGAATTATATTCAACAAAAAATTATATGTATTTTTTAAAATCTAAGAAAATGAAAAATACACTGTAATTACTTGTTAAAATAAGTTTCCTAACTAAAAATTTAATTTAAACAAATGATTTAATGCACTTAATTACCGTTTTTAGAAGTGATATACTAATGATCCTATCGTTTTAGACGCCATTTTTAGACGGTGGCTATTTATAGCCACAGGCTATTGCTGCTGGTCTGTGTAAACACACAGGGACCCTAGCGGCGATTTTTGCAGAGTCAAAATAATGAAAGTAGACTTATTTCGATGTTTGAAAATAAAATGTACATAGTTAACAAATACTTTCAAGTTATTTGGATACAAAGTCTTAAGTCCTGATATTTGCCGTTGTCAATATTTCTCGCCTCATGAATATTCATCGAGTTACGCCGAACTAAACTAACTCGTACACCAACCGACTCCTACATTCGTATGCAAACTACAGATGTCAATTCGTACAATTTTTTTTTTCATTTTTTCTCACAACTTCGAAAAAGTCAGTTTCGTACGCACATTGTGTTTCTTTAAAATTAACAATTAATTGTTGAAAAAATATTTGAAGATTTAAATGTATGATTGTTTCACTATCTAACTCCGAAATCAAATACTAGTCATTATTACTAGTAATTGCTACTTGAAACAACACACGACTGTTTCTTAAATACTGCTTTGTGAAATTTTTTTTACAATAAAACTTAAATAGTTTATTGTAATTTAACAAAGTCTTTTTGTTTGAATTTCTCATATCTGTTAACAATGCTATATTATTAAACGAATATATGTATTTTAGTAAAGAAGAAAAAAGATCACTACATCTTAATCAGTTAATAAAACGGTTGTTGGAGGTATATGATGCCATAAAATTTGCTAAGTTTACTACCATTCTAGTTTTTAAAAATAAGACTTTGTCTGATTATCTCGGACACAAAAACGACTAAACGGATAAAAATTTGTCAAAGCTATAATTACAAAGACTATAACGGACAATTTACCCATATATTTCATTCCTATTTAGAAACTCTAACGTGCCTCTAATAAATTTACCCTTTAAAGTGTGTACGAAAAAGGTATTCAAATAATGTGCATGAAATAATACTAGTATTAGGATTTATGCGATTTTAGTGGGCTGGTGTGTTCACATAGCAGTAAATATGTATTGTGCAATGATTCGCAGGGTTATTGCATAATTGTTAGAATATTATGCATGAGAAATACCATAATCGCAAACCCTAGTCAAAATGTACGATCCTCTCCCATTCTGGAGAAAGTTCCATGCGCATATATACAGGACTCCGATCGTGACTTGAGACGACGGAAAATAGAGACAGAAAAATATTTTGTTATTCCGTTTTTTTTTTTTTCGAGCAGTATACGAGGGTTGCCGTGTACAAAGCGTTTTTCTCGAAAAATAGTAGGCACTGCAAGATGAATTTTTTCGCAAGTATTTATTTATCATATTTTAGTGTATCTGAATTCGTTTGATAAAATATAGACAAAAAATTAATACTTCATTAACATGCTTTAATGTACTTACGCACGATTAAAAAAAAAAGTTTTTAAAAATAATACATGAGTATTGTTTCGAAATAAAAGTACTAAATAGATTTTGGTTAACATTATCCTATTTTTTATTCCCTTAACTATCGTGTCGTCTTTTGGAAAATTTAAGGACATTTGCTTAATAATTTTATCAATTTATCAGTTTATCAAGCATCCGAAATGGGAAAGTGGTAAATCCAACACACGAAAAACGGCGGCGTTCGATGACGATACTACGCACTGGAAAGCAGTCGAGTTTTTTCTCTTTAGTGTACTAGAGAAATGGGAGTTTTCTAAGCGTAATCCAATCCAAGGGTAGAACAAATGTCTACAGGAATAGCGGAAGGCGCTGTCAATGTTGACAGCCAATACGTTTTGACATTATCATCCGTGTGTCGTAAAGCGACACAACACATTAAATGAAATTTTATAATTTGCAATTGTTTATTTATGCATATACCTATTTGAAATTTGCTATGTTTTTTTGATGAAAATTGTAAGAAGATAGTAATTTACAATTTTAGATAACAGTGAGAATTCATAACACTTTACTTTTTTGTACAAAAAATATAAATTTATATATTAAAATGCAGGCCTGTAGATATATTGTGAAAAATTGAAATAAACATTTATAATTTCCATATAATTTTACAAAATCTTAAAACAACTTTTCTTATATACTGCCAGTCGCCATTTGACGTAGCGGGTTTGCTTTGGACTCACGGACCTGAAGAAGTCAATCCTTACGCCGCGGATTCGACTCCTACTGCGTGACATGGATATGGGTCCTTAATTCCGATTGAGATCCTGTGTCGCAGTAATTGCTATTCAGAAAAATATCCTTCACTGCTAAAAAATTTTATTCTCAAAAGGGGTGTTAATTGTTAAACAAACAAAATCATTCATGCCACCGTCTTTCAGTACTCACAGTACTTTGATTATGATAAAACCTACTTTATTCTACAAATTGGAACCGAAGCGAATTCCGAAAAAAACAAACCCTAACCTGACCCAAATTAATTGTTCTGCGGTTCCGGATCATTTTGGATACCGTAAATGCCCTAGCACAAAGCCTGTTACATGAAATTATTTTGCCACCCAAAATGGCAGTAAAACAGGCGAAATTTTGTATTGTTTCAATTTCATGTTAACGAAGGCTTCTAAACTATTTTAAGGAATGTTTGGTTCTGGAAATAGGAAAATAATGTGTTAGAAACACAAGGTAAGCACAAAGCATACAGTTGAGATGACAGTTGGAAAAATACAGAGAAATAAATTGAGAAACTACGCCTTTTGTTGTGCAATGACAGGCACTGTAGCTCTCTGCTCGTCCATCCCATTTTTTCAGATCAGCACACTTCAGATCTGGATGAATTTCACAAAGGAAACTTCCGTATTTCTGATCAAGATATGATATTCATGGCTGATGTGTAAGGCTCACAGGGTATACTTACTCCTCCAAAAGGCACCTGATCGCACTTTCCGAATATTTGTAGACTTTGGTTAATTATTTTTCATGCATATTTCTATTATCTATTCATAATTTTGGATCGATTACTGCTTGTCTTCTTCGCGTTTTTCCTTTGTTCGAGCGATATATTTATGATTAGGATTGGGATCCTTATAATGTTTATAAAAAGAATGTAAAAAGTTTTCACTAGTTTCCATCCAGATCTGAATTGCAACGTCCAGACGTATATACGAGGGCTGTTCAATGAATAATGTAATCGGCTCGATAACATCTAACATAGAAATCATATGCAATTAAGCTTGACTTTCTTTCATTATTGAATCTTTAATGAATTGGTAACAGTTTTGAGACCACTTTTCACACATAGTATCATTGTGGGAAGTTAGAAAACAAGGGCTATTCAAGACACTGCATTACAAATGAATGGTAAAGAATAAGTAATTATACTACTGCAGGATACAGCATGATCTGCAATGTTTCAATAAGTCTCTCAAAACTTTTGTAAAAACATGCCCTGCTGAGAAGAAACCAAAAGGAATCGCATTAAATTCGAAAACACTGAATTTGTCACCCTATTTCCATGTAAAACGTATATATTTGTGAGAATCTGAATGTATATCAATATGGTGATAATCCAATTTCAAATTGAACGTAATCAT